CAACTATTGGAGCTTATCACGTTTCCTGCTGTGTGGCCCTTTGATAAACTTTATTGGGTTAGGATGAATGTTTCCCTTGAACATTTCATTTCTTCCTTCTTTCTACTTTCATTAATTCTAGTAAGTATTTAACCCATCTAAAATAAATCAGCCTTGATTTATTATTTTTGCTTTACTTGTGGAAAACATCAACAAATTATCACCTTACAAAGTTGTTAATGTGTGGCAAACAATTGCCAGTGCATACATCCAGCAGACTCAGAGCAGAATTAGCATTCACCTGATAAATGTTAGTCCAGTATTCACTCTTCTGGCTGCTCTGGTTTAATCCCTACCAGTGTCTGAGGGAAATATCTGGCTGTTTACCCGCTAAATGCTCCACTATCTTCTATTGCTAACTTTGTCAGGCAGGTAGTCTTCAGCAGGCTTATCAGAGTTATTCCTAACAGCTGCAAGAAACAAGAGTGATGAGAGCAGTGAAACTGATTCAAACAGTAAAGTTGCAGGCCATAAAAGCAACAGCTCAAATGTAGTGCCCCATAGAGCTGAGTCAGACAATAATCCTCTGTGGGCTCATCACTATGAGCAAAACTCAAAGCCTAACTAATGTACTGTATGCTAATGTCAGCATAATCCTAACATGCTGATTGATATTTAGCAAGTATAATGTTTACAGTGTTTGCCATCTTAGCACTGAACACAGAGTACAGCTGAGGTTGTTGGTAATGTCTTTAGCTTTACGGGTAGTTAGGCAAAAAACAAAGCACTGGAAAAATTAACATCTGATCAAGTTAAGATGTGACGATGGCACTGGATGAAAAGTGATGACATGTCATCCTTGGTGGAACATGCATCACATTTCATGGCAGTCCATTATTAGGTGTCAAGGCATTTCACTCAAAACCACATATGTCAAGCTCACAGTGACAATAGTGGAAAAGTCAAGGGAACACCACAGTCACAGTTCATTTTCTGGGGACCACAAATATCTGTTCAGTATTTAATGACACTGAGATATTTTAATCTGAGCTAAAGCAGTGGACCAACCAACAGACCAACCTGCTGCTATTCATAAAGGCTGCTAGCATGGCTACAGTACTGACTGCTTCAGCTTTAAGCCTCAGAGTGCTCCAGA